TCCCGACATAGATACTTGCTAAAAGTCCGATCAATCTGAAATTTCGGTTCTGACCCTAAAAAGTCATGTCCCGAAGATTAACTCCAAATCGTGCATTGAGTAATTTCCGAAATTATTCACTTGGTATATATATGATGAGAAAAATGGTATTTTCGCTGCATGCCTGCTTTCATGCATTAAAATGAACTTTTATAGGAGGGTTTTTAAGGGAAGGAGGTGTACGTATCCCTTCCCTATCCTGTACGGTAACCGAAACCGAATTTGTTTAAATTTTAGTGCTTTTTAGAAACTGAAAAATTTATCGTCCCGTTTGTATTTATTTTAGCTTATTTTGTGGCGGTTGAGGTGGATTGCTTTGGAATGCTTGAACCTGTTGCCAAGACTAGGGCTATATCAGGGACTTGCAGCCCGTGTTGGAATCAGGTGCGTCCCCAGACCTTTTAGGTGGCAAATTGGCGGCATTTTATCATGCCCAGGTTCATTCCCGTTATGTGTTGATTTGGTATATTAATTACCGTGAATTGTTTTCAAGACAGTTACTGGGCAATTCGGGTGTGAGTTTGTCCGGTATGCCGTTAGTTCTTTCATAACACCACTAAATATGACTAACAGCGTATTGGCCGTAGACGGTAAGAAGGAAGCCATGCTTTTCGGTTCAAATGATCGAGCACTAGATGTCTGCTAACGTATGGTCATAAGTTTGAGGACCATGCTTACTCTCTAGAAATCCGACTACTTCAACGATATGAAACGACTAAGGTGTAAGAATGACGCCATTTTCTAATTTGGGTGGAGGGAGAACTTTTCGCGTCGTTCAACTCAATCAGGTCCGACTCTTAACCGATGACCAATCCCGCTGTTCAAGTATGATTGCGCCAACGACCATTTATTCACTGACAAACTCCTGGATCTGACGGAAAATCAGAAGACTCAACTTCCCAATCAAAACTACTCTAAGTTCCGCAAATACTCCCATGTTATAATTGGAAAGTCAAGCTGGCAAACACGTGTTTTCGGTAATTCGTCATTAGGCCAATACATTTATATGGATGAATGGAAGTGTACAAAATTAACACTGTTTACAGGTGTCTCGCACATTTAGTCGATACGAATCACTGGGTCGATGGCAAGGAAGCATTTCAGATTGTCTACCAGACACCAGCGAGCTTCTCTAAAGGCCTACGCGAACGGGCGCTAACAACGTCCGAGGCAGTGGTTATACGGCTGGCCAATCCAGTGCTATGCTGTAAGAAGACGCTGACACACGCTCTGTCCACCGTGGCCAGCGCCAACTTTAGGTGATGGCGACGTGCCGCCCAAAATCCCTAATTACAGTGATGCGTACTCCGTGTACTCAATCTAAGAACATCACTCAAAAGCTCTCTTAGCCTCCCTTCCCTAGCCCTAAGGACCAAAACCCATCGGCCTCATCGTGCGGGCGGCGTGAAGGAGATGAGTGTCAATGACTTAATAGGCCTTGAGACACCTATAAACACTGTTACTTTTGTATATTTTAATGCCCCCATGTCATTGTATTGAACTGATGAAGAATTACTGAAAACACGTGTTGGACAACTTAACTTACAACTACTCTAACCGAAAGCCATACGTCAGTGAAATACACTACTTACTCTTCCATTTGTCCGTCGGACCCCAATCTCGAAAAAGAACATCGTGCCCGCAGCTCGAATGACGCTGTCTTTATGCCGATTTTCTTGAACCGCGACCTTCTGCTGTGGAGGAACTATCAACGTCTGTTTGACCGTACCGCTAAAATATTGGCCCTCATCCTTATCCCTTGCATCTGTGTGTGTACTCTGGCGCGCAAATAAGAGGAATTAATGCAGCCTTTTGGTGGCGGGGAGTTGTCTTTATGTTTTGACGTGCCCTCGAGTGCCATTACATTGAGCGGCAGTACACTGTCAGTGTGTTGGAGAATTTAACTGTTACGTTTGAGGTTTTTTAATTTGCTCGCTTGATTATTCATGTAACCAAACGTCCTAGGACTTACTGATATTTTTCTTAAAGTATCTAATTCGATCTATCAATTGTTGCAGCAGTGTCTTATGAGCAGTATGGATCTGCGGATAATTAATATGAAATGATGCCTTTATCTGTTTAAGGGGGAGTACTAGTGTTTCCGGTTAAAGTATTTTGTTTTCTGAAATCGAAAAATTTTAATCCTTCAACCGCAACAGTGGAAAAAGCGATTTTCTGCAAATAAAGTATGATAAGCTCACTTTTTTGAAGTTGATTCTGATGCAATGGTTGATTTTCTGCAGGCATCCATGCCATTAGAGCTTTGTACACCACCTATGCAATAAATGTTGCCAGGTGTAATTTACACGTGTGGATGAAAATTAGTTCAAATAAACGTGAGCATTTTATCATGCACGCGCGGTCGAAATTTATGAAACCCTTGTCCATAGCTTTTAATACACCAGCATAGAAGAGGCTATTACTTACGGCAGCGTGCATATTTATAAGTAAGCATATTTCTGGACACTAAATAAAACGATACTAATGGCAGATTGCTGCGTAAGCAATATGTACCCCTTCCATGGTTTCCGAACAATCGTACGAATGCAATCATGATTCATGGAGAACATACATAATGATTAATTAATTTTACTTTTTTAAATGGAAAATTGAGCATTTTTCAATGTTTGCCATCAAGTAAAGTAGCCAATCCGATTTTCAAATCTCTGATAGGAGTTTTTTTGATCCTTAAATTTAAATATTTGGCCAATTACTCTATCCCTCCCGTTTAATTATTGCCATTCATCAAGTTTGCGACATTATTTATACCTAGTGCTACACTATGACTATTCGAAGATCTTTTTGTAGAGATGTGTCGCGCCACATAAATCTGCCTCGGAGAACATGCAAAGCATATTTTTAAAGACCTTAGGGGCAGTAGACAAGATGATGTGAAAATGTGCACGTATTTGTAAAATGTTTTCAAGGGAAAAGTACACTCTTTACGTACGGCGCTTAGCAAAGGCGTACCTGTCTACGAATATAAAGTTAAATTTTTATTCGTTTTTTCTTTAAATGACATTCGAATTTTTGTGAACACCGGACCTCAGTATACACATGCATAATTTCCTCAAATGTCTGGAAATAACGTCGTTTAACGTCCAGCATGTTTTCCCTTCGAAATTCGTTCAGGGTTATCTTGTTGACTGCCAAATTCTACAACTATTTATACTAGGCCTGATAGCATTTTGTCGAGAACGTTCGGCAATACTGCCCGAACAACTTTGGGACTGTATTCTATGCTAATTAGTGTTGTAAGCTAGATTAACTAATTTGTTATTTCAGCGTCGTGCATAAGTATTTCAGTTAAAGTCTTATAACTTGCGGAGCCTATTGTATTCACCGGATCATCGGATTTTCACAGCCGAGGACTGACATGTGTGCACATTTCAGACTGTTTTTGCTAATTTGCGCTACTATTTTTAGTTTACACCTGTTCGCATACTTAGATTCGGCTTGACGTAAAAATATTACGTCTTTGGATAGTTGTCGACGCGGAAATCGGATATTCCATGAATCAGCATACAGTGAAACAATCGCAAAATTAGGCGCGCATGCGTACGTTTACTCAGGACTCGACTTCATAATAAACACTGCAGGAACTTGAGGTGGCTAAGGTGTTACTGCAGAAAATCTTTGCGCTAATTCGTCGCAGGCAAAATATTTATTTAAAATACTGGGCTAGCAAACCAAAATAGCCTTTTGACTGGTAACCTTACGTCTTCTACCTGCAAACTCCGCAGGCATCCAAGCAAAGGCAGGAAACATTTTACAATTGTTGCCTTGGTTTTTGCAGACCTTCGTAATTGAACTTGAATCCTCCCAATCTGCGTTCTTCGCTCTCTATCGCCAATCTACTGTGATCGCGCAGCTTGAGCTGCCGGCAAGTGTTACTCCTTGTTTCTGCATTTTGATCCGCAAAAATTGGAATTGGTTCGCATGCTGATTTAAACGCAACCTTTGCAGTCTCCACATTTCCAAGGATAATAAACACATTCGTAGGCACATCGGACGTCTTCGACTGATGCGTATATTTTCAACACTAAGAGAATTGGGCTTTAAAACCGATGTCAACTGTCCACTTGAAATCTTCGCACAACGTAGTTCTAATTAACTGACTGTAACCTGTTGAAATTTAAAATAACTAAACCACAAGTTTTGCATGTCAGCATAAGGCAGTTGCAGACCGTAAAAAAATCCTAGTATGTTTTTTGTACTTAGTTCGCAAACGTCTAACAAATGTGGGAATTTCTGTCAGTAACTAATCCGCCCTTGTTAATTTTTGACGCATAACCGCTGCTACCGTTCTTCCAACCTTTCTGATGCAATTCCGTTTTGGCAGTTTCCCTTCTTGCCAACATAATCCTGTTACATCTGTTTCTACTACGCAGAGATCAAATTCATCCGCCAGCATCCCCTGCAGGACAGTTAAAATATTCACTTTTTGCACTCTGAGAATGTCAGTAAGACAGTGTTTTGTTAACGCGAAAAACATGAATACGAGGGCCAGTTGTTAACGGCTCCGTGCAAGAAGTAGGTGGGATTAGTTGTTGCTCACACCGGTTATTTAATAGCCGATAGTCTACAGGTGTCACACCAAATAATTTAAAAGATCTGACAAAAAACAAAAAGAGATACAGCACATAGACAGACAGGCCTTCTTCGTCTTAAGATTTTCTTCTGAGTGGGACACATTAAATAGAGAATTGTCACAGACAATATGTTTTAATTCCACTCGGATAATAGCGTTTATTCAAAAGGTAGATCATACTTATCAGAGAATATTAATTTTATTGTCACTTTTATTAATGTCCCTACCGGTAATCGTACGACCATTGTTGTTATTATAAGATCCACCATAAGGACGACGATGACGTGAGCCGTCCCTCTTCCGAATAGGGCGTCGTGGCCGCTTGCGTCGAAAATCGCCTATTATAGAGGGAGGGCGGATTCGTTTCATATCCAAATCTCTTTCTCATCCCGCAAAACAGCGATGCGTATTGCTACCTGTTAAAGGGATGGCTGAGTGAAAGTTCAGGTTGGTCCCCCTCCCTAGTAGGAGAATCGGTCTAGCGATTTGATAATGACAGTAGGCTTAAGTTAGGTGTATTGAACATTCGGTGCGGACTGGCGCACTACTGCCTTTTTCTACAGCTCGATTTTTAATATCAAGTTGGCGCCTTCTTAAGCGAATAGACCGAGATCTTGTCACATACCTGCTGAATTTGTTTGCTCAGTCTACGGTCGTCGGCTAAAAGGTCATGTCCTTTGACATTTTAAGTGTATGCAGATCGTTTTTACCGACTCGGCAATTGACGTCTATTTAAAGTCGTTCACCACGATAGGCATCCATCAATACTGCGACGACATTAGGACTGAAGTGGGTTTTACCTCGTTTAGCACAAGGGACCTCTCATGCTGGCCCATCGTACGTAACATGTCCTGCCACGTGGTTAATGTAAATTGTTCGAGA